CACCAACCACACAAGCTCCAGCAACCCAAGCTTCGAACCAAGCTGCAGCCAAACATGTAGGCTGCAGTCATTTCTAACAATCCAGCAGAAACCACCAACACCCAAGCTGCAACCATTCGAACTACCAACAACACCACCAAACCACCACTGCCTAAACCCACTCCAAACCATCCAGAACCACTCAACGCAGCTGCCACAAGATCAAACAACCACTTACAACACTAACACCACCATCTCCAAAATCCACCGAAATCGCCACTCCTTCACCTCCAAAATCGACAGCCAGCCTCACCCAAAATCCACCTCAAACCACCACAAAAACCAAGGAATAAGAAGATCCAAATACTTACCTTATCCCCCACCCATTTTCAGTTTCATTGCCACCAAAAATCGAACCACCAAGCCTCGGTTGCCTTCGATCCATACACCAAAACTTCCTCCCAGCTCACCTCTACCAACACCCCGACGCCACCACACGACGGTGGCACTGAGGCCGCGTAGTCGGCGGTCGAACCGAAGTTCTCTCTCTCTCTCTCTCTCTCTGTCTCTCTCTCTCTCCGCTCGTTTTAAATCGAAAATGAGAGAAAGGGAGAGTGTGATAGATATTTTGTTTAATTTGATTTTTGAAATTTACCCTTTAAGTCCAGGTTTTAAAAGTCGTTTATTTCAGTCCCAAATTTTCTGTCATGAATAAAACAGCCCTAGATTTCCCGTTTCTCACAGTTAGGCCACTATTTTCGAAAAGTCTAATTTCAGCCCTTAAACTTTTCAATTTTGATTTCATAAATTTCCAATTAAGACCCTGAACTTTATTTTACATCATTTTAAGTTATTATTTCAGTCCCAAAGTTTTAGTAATTAGTGAATTAGTCCTTGGAATTCTTGTTTCCCACTATTAGCCCGATTATTTTGAAAATCTTATTTTTAGTCCTTAGACTTGTCAAATTTCAGTTTTAACCTAAATCCAATTAGGTTACAAAACTTTATTTTATCACTTTAAAACCTTAAATTTTCGGAATACTAATTCAA